GATAAAAAACAACATTTTTGGCATTGTAGTTTAAATTTAAAAAATGACGTTTTATCTTGTCTAATACTTATTTGCACCAACAAGAATATTCATAGTAGTGTGTTTTGTCTATATAAAACCCTAACATGATATGAACACACATTCACTAAGGTCGTTTCGCAGTACTCATACGCAATTTATTTTAATATTTGTTTCGATTGTCAAATATGAGTGGACGCGGTAAAGCAGGCAAATCCAAGGGCGGCAAGTCGAAGACTCGATCTTCCCGAGCTGGACTTCAGTTTCCGGTCGGTCGTATTCATCGATTGTTGAAGAAAGGGAATTACGCTGAGCGTGTAGGAGCCGGCGCCCCGGTTTACCTAGCCGCCGTTATGGAATACTTAGCTGCTGAAGTGTTGGAATTGGCCGGTAATGCCGCCCGTGATAATAAGAAGAGTCGAATAATTCCCAGACACTTACAATTGGCAATTAGAAATGACGAGGAATTGAACAAATTGTTGAACGGTGTTACTATCGCTCAAGGTGGAGTGTTGCCCAACATTCAAGCCGTTCTCTTACCGAAAAAAACTGAAAAAACCAAAACAACGTAAATATTTTTTATCAATTGTGCAAATTAAAAAGGCCCTTCTCAGGGCCATCATATAGAAATAATATTACGTGCATTTTATAAAAATGTTTTTATTTAGTATCGTGAATATTATTTTTAATCTGATAGACACGAAGTATTAGAATCATTCATCATTCATCTATATAATCATGTCCACGGTTTAAACCAGAAACTTATTAAAACCACACAAAATAACATAACTACATGGTTATCAATAACATTTTCATATGAGGTTAATTGTTAAATCTTTAGTAACTTAAAAAAAAAAGAAGTTTTAACTAACATAATTGTATTTAAATAGTTTAATATAATACGATCATTTGAATATTCGTATTTACACGTGCGAGAATGATTTTATCTCTCATCTCACAACCGCTATAACGATGGCAGATAAAAGAAACCTCTATTATATATAATTTGAAAAGTGAACTTTTGTGGAGTTAGTGCAGTTTAATAATTTTAAATTAGGAAGTCTCTGTTCTATAGTAGTAACGAGCATTAAATCACGTTACCGTTAATTTGTTATGGCAACAACCATATCATTTTTTTTTAATAGTGATAAGATACTTATTGATATCAAGAATAATTGTACCGTATCACGATTTACACATTAATGACGTATATACGTATATATGCCGTGAGCTGTAGCAATGACATTTTAATAAGTTGGTTATGGTGACTAATATCAATCACGGCAACAACTGTGTCTACTAGTAGTGTACTGCAGTAATCTCTTAGACTAATTGTGGACGGTAAATAATTTAACTCAGCGGCATTTCCCCAATTTTATCATAATCAACATTGGTATACTAATCAATTTCATCAGTTAACGTATAAACGATAGCTCTGATAACGGCCGTTTTATTTTTGTTGCAGAAAAACAATTTTAAGCAGTTTTAACTTTGTCGGTTTTTTTAGGTAAGAGAACGGCTTGAATATTAGGTAATATACCTCCTTGAGCGATGATGACACCATTTAACAATTTGTTTAATTCTTCATCGTTTCTGATCGCCAATTGTGAATGTCTAGGGATAATACGACTCGTCTTGTTGTCACGGGCAGCGTTGCCTGCCAGTTCCAACACTTTGGCCGCTAAATATTCCATAACGGCGGCTAGGTAATCCGAGGCGCCGCTCTAACACGCTCAGCGTAATTTTCTTTCTTCAACAAGCGATGAATACGACCGACCGGAAACTGAAGTCCAGCTCGGGAAGACCTAGTCTTCGACTTGCCGCCCTTGGATTTGCCAGCTTTACCGCGTCCACTCATGATGACCGAAGTAGGCAGAGTTCGATGATCGTTTTTATTTAAGTTTAGCCATTAAATTAAGGTTTTTATGAATTCAAAATAACATGCAATTATAAATATCCGTATTGGTAAAAAATTATATAACGACGAGATAAAATGACATATTTTTCTCATAACTATAGTTAATAATATGTCTTTATTTATCATCAAAATTAATAATCCACATAAAAACAAACCAAATAGCTATATTTTTAGTATATCTTAAACGAATGGATAATTACTGTATTTTTCGAGGTCAGTAATACTCCCGCACAATGATAAATAAAATGAGGCCACGTGCATAATCAGTAGTTTATTCGGTGATGAGAGGCACAAAAGAATATTACTAAGTCTGACAAATAACGCAAGCTTATAACAAATGAATCGTACGGAATTCACATCTACAGCGTTGAAGCAAGTGCATTCTGAGACTGGAGTTTCTTCGAAAGCTTGAGCATCATGAATAATTTTATTTGTTGTAATAATTATTTCTTATATTAGCAACATGGGAACCAATTTTTCATGCATTTTAATAATATTAGACATTGTACTTGTCCAGTGAATGTTTATGAAAAATGGCCCATTTTAGAACAGGCTCTTATGCTATGGCGGTCAACCTGACCACTTGCGGCGAGTAAATGACCGGATGAGGAAACAATATCAATTTAAATTATCAGAAATTCAAAACTGAGTATGTACGGTTTAAAATTATAAAAGGCTCGTAGGCCATTTATTTAAAACCAATTAATATTAAAAGACATTATACGTACGGCGTTGGAAATGTTTTTCCGGTGCTTAGTAACAACAATAATAAAATATTGAATACGAAAGGGCTACTTTAACTACTGGCTGATAAACTAGGTACGAGATAGCTGAGCGATAATGAACAATAGAAATTTAAAAAAAAGCGTACGACCGTGTGAGATGGCGCGCTTAGAGATCCCGGACAGTCACGATTGCGATGACGTCACAGTAACCACATCAAGCCGAGCAACGGTAATGTGACGACGGCTTATAATACCGCACACCAAGCGTGTTTACGCATAAAAGGGAACGTGTAGCGGTTGGCGATTGGATACGCCTCATTCGGAACAATCCGTGCAAGTGAATATACACCAGTAATTCCAACGTTATCGGCGGACAGCGGCATGGGAGGATGAAAGGGTTTCCGTTACGGTACCCGGAGACATATCTGTCAAGGTTAGGTTGTGGTGCGCGTAAGCAGCGTCTTGAACGAGCGAACGAACTGCTGCTACCCAAATAACTCCAAAATGTTGGGTGCCCCGAGTGGATTAGAATCACGAGTGGAAAGACATCGGGCGATGATGAGCCGAATCGTTTACGACGTAGTACGAATGCTCCGAAGCGCCCTTGAAGTTGGTGCCACAGTCTAAATATAAATCCGACGGAAGCCTACGCGCCCGAGCAACGAATCGGTCAAAAGGCGATAGTGGGCAATTCTGTAACGACCTCCGAATGGACGGCTTTAGTCGCCATACAAACGAACACAGAGACGTACATTTTGTACCGTGTAATTTTTGAGTGTAGTTGAAGCCAATATTTTCGGATACTTAGATTCTTAATAACATTAGAGTATCCTGTGAGTGACGCCAATCAGATAATGTCAATTTTTTGAAAAAATTAGATAGGAATAGAAAAGGAGAGTGTACATTTTTTTATTTTTTTCAAGTTTTTGTGAAAATTGGAAATCACGCAAACATATTAAAATTTAATAAAACACTCAGCCTCATGGAGAATTAAAATTTTAAAGCCCATTTGCCAACAATCACAAAATGTGACATTGGCCCTTCTTACACCAAGCCACAGAAATATATATAGCTCACTAAAGGTGCGATTTCATAGAACGCGATTGAAATTTCGGTCGATATTAGTTTAGCCATTTTTAAATATAACCGAATCCTTCCACTTCCGTAGCCGTACAAGATAAATTTAGAATATTATCAGAAGGCATAGCAAATAGAAACGAAATTGCATAGTGACGTTTTAATTGTTTATAAATAGGTACGTTAGGTGGCTAGTTAGTTGTTAATTAATTTTTATTTTATTATTATTACTAATGGACGGAGCCCAGAGTGCAACATAAAAGAAGCACGGAGCGTAGCGTAGCATCTATTAATTATTATAAAATATTAATAAATCTAACTACAATCGTCCTAACTGGGGGGGGGGCAATTTGGAAAACTGGAGGAACTTAGCTCCCCGAACTTCTCTATTTACGGCCCCCCTATAGGCCATCATCTCAGTATATTTGAACGTAATTATATAAAAGACCATTTTTCATCATTTTGGCAAACACCCAACCATCACCTACGACCACCAAGTTAAAAACCATTGTTTTTCACACCACGGGTAACAGCCGATTAATCGTCCTTTGGATTTTTTAAAAGGCTGATCGCTGTTTAAAATTATCGAGTTTTAATCATGGACAGGAACAGTATTAAAAAGTAAGCAGAACAGGTTTTAGAATTGGATCCTTTTGATTAAATACTGGAACAGGAACCTCACCGAAATTCTTTGATTTTGAAAACCGATATAGAAACCTTTACTTTTACGTTTTTTAACACGAAATTTATTGTAACATGCAACTAAAACATTCTAAAACGTGGTTTTTGTCAACCATGTGTAGTTAATGATAATTTCACCATAAATTGTAGCTTACTTGATTTGTCTATGTTAAAAATTTGAGTTGTTATGCAATTGAAATTGTTGCATATTTTATTCAAATCTGTGCGTCCAACATTCTAACATGTGATTGTACATTGCTATTATTATTCAAACGGGGCGACTATAGGCAACCCGATAGATATCATATTAGTATACTAATAGGACGCTAGATTGCGTTCCTATTCAAAGTGGTTTTTAAAATTCCGTAAAATGACGGTCCGGGATATTCCTTACGTTTACGATTGGCATATATACAATGTCCGTATATTACGGACAAGCATTTATACGGCTTACGTATTTGGATATTCCGTGAGATCACTTTCCGTAAGATTAATGTTTCAGATTTAGACGTTCCGGGACATTATGGTTCGTTGATTTACGTTCTGTATAATTACTTTCCGCGATTTTACAGGCGTCCGGGGAAACCCTGGATAGCGGCTACCTGCTTATGATCGGGGAAGATATTTTTATCGTATTGATGACGAAGAAAAGAACAGTAATTACACATGTTACTGTACGGTAAACATTCTCCTTATCGTATTTATATTCATTATATTATTTTATATTACACGTTTCGTGAATTTTCTAATATTATCCGTTGGTCCGGCCAAAGAGTAAAATCGGGTGGGGGGAGTTGGCACCTTGGAAAAATTCCGAATTTAATAATGAAACTTCGGGATGCTTTTATGGATGTCCAGCAGTGCTACATCACTTTTTATTTTCCTTAACTTGGTGATATCGAATAATTGTAACAGAAAATGGCCGGGCCGATATACACGGGCGAGTATCACAGCCATATTATTGTAGGCGGACAGTCGGGAATGTAGAATATACATACGTTTATTTAATTTATATCTGCAAGCAATGATAAACCGTTGCTGACAAAAAACGATTCTGAGCGGAGCTCGGTTAATAGTATTTCATTTTTACAACAAAATTTAACAAATACATTGTGTATATAGGCATAGATATATCATGAAAATGCAAACATGTTTCCAAAGGGTATTCTCAAGCAAATATACACGTGCCAATAGTTGATAAGTTATATCAGTTATATTAATTCTAACATGTCCAGCAATATAATTATTTTATTTTCATATTAAAAAAACTCAATGGCAAAACCATAGGAATAATATTTAAGTGTGATGAAAAATAAAACTAATTTTATACAACTAGAAAAAACTTGAAAATATTCTGTACACTTAGATTTTGTTTCAATTTGTTCAATAATCAATCAATAGGATTAACAATTAAATTATAGTAATGCCATGAACATAAATTAATTGGTTTATTACTGTTAGCTACCTAGGTACCTAGCAATAAAAGTTAAAAAAATTAATAATAATTCATACAGACACGAGTAAATTACTATATCATAATATATCCATGCATTATAAAATAATTAAATTTAAATCATATATAATAATCATAAAAATTTAGGTAACTAAAAATTAGGTACTTTTAAATTCATATCAACTATCTAAAGATACACATATCCAATCTCAATTTCAATTCTTCATAGTATTCAGATTCACGTTGTGATACACAAAAAAAAAATTCAATCGTTTCTCATTTCATATTCAAAATCCACATACCAAATCACTGTAGTACTGATTTCTGGTTGATTTTGGCAATTTCAAACATAAAATCCATTATTATTGAAAACTAACACGATGTAAATTAGTGTTTCTGTCTTCCAATTCGGATACTTAAAACTTCTTTTTTTCATAATGTATTAAGTTATTTATAACTAAATCAAATTCTGCAGAAAGATGTACCATTTATAGATGGTTTTTTTTTTTTTAAATATGGTTTATTATATACAATGTACATTTAAATTTTTGATTTTTAAATTAATAATAATGAGTAATTACATTGTTTTTAAATTATAATATTATGTCAAACAAGTTTCTAATTAAAAATAGTGGTATAAGTACTATATAGATGGTTTAATTCACTAATGATTTTCAGGAAAGCAATACAAACAGTGAAATTCATAAATGAATAACAGTCGTTTTAAATATTATTATAAGTACACATAGGACTAAAATAGTGTTTTTTATTATAAATTACCCAGTTATTGTAGATTCCAACATGAGCGAGGACTGCATTGATTTTACAATGATGTTTATTTTTTTTTTATTTGTGTACAACAAATGTGGAATATATTAAGTTATTTTCCTTACACTAATACGTCACTAGCCATAAAACATTGACAGTGAAAAACGAATTAGATCATAGTTCAGTTAAACAAGTTTT